TTGAGGCTGAGTCGACCTAGGAGAGGGCCAGGACCGGTTCAGATAATCGTCACTGGTGTTGGCCGTGAGCGGGAATTGAACTCCCCCCCCACACACACACACATGCGGTAATTCACAATAATTCAGACGGTATGACCATAGCTATAAAAATGCGTGTGCAAGTTAGTTAACGTCCAGCAACAACGCACTACTTTTAAAAAATCCCGCTAGGGCTGGGATGAGAGCAACATTTGGCAAATACAAACTCATTTAAACCCGTCCTCAATAACTAATGAATATACCGCGTATGATTCATTCTCCAGATTATAATACGCAGTTTCATTTTCAAGCAAAAGTTACGGTTTGGCTTTTAGAATCCGATCGGTGTGTGTATGTGTGACCAGGTTTGTTTCCTGTTACAGTATATCGGGGTATGCGTCTTACTTTCCAGAGCGTCTTCTAGTCCGGAAAAAATACGGTATATATCGCCCTCTGTATCATCTTACGAACGACATGACTACTGCGAAAATAAATTATTCCGAGAGAAACTGGTCGCCTGGGAATATATCCGCAAAACTTTACGCAGATCCCTTCCCCGCATTTTGCGAATTATTTAGATGACAATTTCATGATACGGCAGCGGATCGACGGAATATCTAACCTTACGATCATCATCAGCCACTGGTCAATCCCCTGCTGGACGAAGGCCGTTCCCCAAGCCACCCATGATGCTCCGCTACGTGATCGGAGGTCATTGTCCCCATCTCCACTGTCGTTAGCATCGACCACTGGGCCACAGTTAGCATACGGTGGCTGTGGCCTAAATATATGCACGCACACAAGATGAACCCATTTAGCCTGGGTATCATAGGCTGTTTGGAGCAAGTGATATTGGTGAGCTCCCTATTAAGGCCTGTACAGCAGTGATGCGGCCAGTCAACACTATGCGCGCATCTGCTATATCCATTTCTGTTCATGACCACACCGCCACAGCAGCCGAGAAGCGATGAGTCAGAATCAGAATGTGTATTTATACTGGAGGAATCCGGTGCGCTACAAAGTTCTTTTGCACAGAGGTCAAGTAGTTTTTCACCAATGTGAAATAGTTGCTTTGCAGAGTCCATGTAACATGGAAGGTCACTTCCAAACGAACGTCATTACTACAGTTAGTAGTAGTAATGACGTTTGGGTTTGTTTGTGGAGTTGACGCTCACTGGTTTGCGATCGCTACACGGAGCCACAGGTCTCGTTCATTCATACTCGAGGGCGGGGTTTACAAACATCAACAAACACACACACATCTCTGCCTAGAGCAGTGTGGTTCTTATAACCTTCACCGCAGCCTTGCACTTCTTCGGTTCTCAATCGTAACGTTTTTTTATATAATGTTAATCAATACATCGGGTTTGATGTTACAAAGTAAGTTGTACTGACGCGCCATTGCTTTATTTGTGTTTCGATGATTTACCTTCTTAAAAGAAATCTGGCCGTGTCTCGCACCCCCAGAAAGGGCATCTCGCTACCACCCGCAGGGGATACCAGCGACATGCCCCAGGTTAAGGACCACCGGTTTAGACGATAGCAGGGAGTTGACACGCAGTTACACGTACACATCTGGCTTAGTTAGCCCAGGCTGGGGGGTGTGGGGGGTAATTGCTCTAAGGTACAGAGCTCAATGTGTTATTTGCGTTCAATCACTCTTCTGTCCGCACAGGTTTTATTGTTCCGTTCTACGGCGCTTTCCAATTTCAACCGTGGATTACATGAAATGTGTTTACATGTACTAGTCCTCTCTCTCTTTCTCTCTCTCTCGAGAGAGAGCCCAGTTCACGCGCGCGTAGCCCACTCTCGATTAGCACGCTTGGCTTCGCGAACGAAGTTCAACGTACGTAGTGGCTTCTCAAATACACCCCGCACTTTCGACGAGGTTTCACAGGCACACTGGCTCGTGGCGAGGGTTCACACACACGGAGGGGTCGCTGACCAACACCATTCCCGGACGCCTTTGTCTCGACAACTGATGAGTTATACACCCGCACCAGGTTTCTCATTTAAGGCTGAGTTGAACTAGGAGACGCCCGGAACCTTTTCAGATATTCGTCACCGATTTTAGCCTGACAGAGCCAGGTGTTATGGGTTAAGTCACTTGGATGACTGACAGAGGCCGATGTTAACGCATCGGCCAGTTCACTCAGCTCCACCACACACTCCCGTACGTCTAAGTCAATCTCTTCTCCAGCCCGTGTCGCGCCCGTTTAGCCGCCTCGATCCGGCCAAACAGAAGTTGTTTGGGCATGCGGTGGCTGGGCATGCGGGCTACATAACCCAGCCAACGTAGCCTCGCCTGCCGTAAGAGCTCGCTTACACACATGCTGACGAGTGATGGGGGCAGACGCACACACACTAGTGGTAGGGGCTCACACACACACTCATGGTAGGGGCTCACACACACTAGTAGTAGGGGTTCACACACACTAGTGGTAGGGGTTCACACACACACACTAGTGGTAGGGGCTCACACACACACACTAGTGGTAAGGGCTCTCACACACACACTAGTGGTAGGGGCTCACACACACACAAGTGGTATGGGCTCACACACACACACACTAGTGGTATGGGCTCACACACACACACACTAGTGGTATGGGCTCACACACACACACTAGTGGTAAGGGCTCACACACACTAGTGGTAGGGGCTCACACACACTAGTGGTAGGGGTTCACACACACACTAGTGGTAGGGGCTCTCACACACACTAGTGGTAGGGGTTCACACACACACTAGTGGAAGGGGCTCACACACACACTAGTGGAAGGGGTTCACACACACACTAGTGGTAGGGGCTCTCACACACACACTAGTGGTAGGGGCTCTCACACACACACTAGTGGTAGGGGTTCACACACACTAGTTGAAGGGACTCACACACACAAGTGGTATGGGCTCACACACACACACACTAGTGGTAGGGGCTCACACACACTAGTGGTAGGGGTTCACACACACACTAGTGGTAGGGGCTCACACACACACACTAGTGGTATGGGCTCACACACACACACTAGTGGTATGGGCTCACACACACACTAGTGGTATGGGCTCACACACACTAGTGGTAGGGGCTCACACACACACTAGTGGCAGGGGCTCACACACACTAGTGGTATGGGCTCACACACACACACACACTAGTGGAAGGGGCTCACACACACACACTAGTGGAAGGGGCTCACACACACTAGTGGTATGGGCTCACATACACACTAGTGGTAGGGGCTCACACACACACTAGTGGTAGGGGCTCACACACACACTAGTGGAAGGGGCTCACACACACACTAGTGGTATGGGCTCACACACACACACTAGTGGTAGGGGCTCACACACACAAGTGGTATGGGCTCACACACACACACACTAGTGGTATGGGCTCACACACACACACTAGTGGTATGGGCTCACACACACACACTAGTGGTAGGGACTCACACACACACAAGTGGTATGGGCTCACACACACACACAAGTGGTATGGGCTCACACACACACTAGTGGAAGGGGTTCACACACACACACTAGTGGTAAGGGCTCACACACACACAAGTGGTATGGGCTCACACACACACTAGTGGAAGGGGTTCACACACACACTAGTGGAAGGGGCTCACACACACTAGTGGTAGGGGCTCTCACACACACTAGTGGAAGGGGCACACACACACAAGTGGTATGGGCTCACACACACACACACTGACTTTTGTGGCAAGTTCTGTTAGTGAGCCCCTATTAAGAGCGGGCAGGACACACGGACCAGTCGGGCCTTGACCAGCAACCACCCCCCGGGCCGCCTTTGCCTCCCCAATGCTGTTGTTCACACACCGCACGCACACGGTGTTACTTCAAGGCTGAGTCGACCTAGGGGAGGCCCACACCGGCGCACGCGCCACACACGCGCGAGCGATGATGGTTGGTGCCGCGGTGGGTGGCGGGCGCTCTCCGTCTCACGCTCGGGCGGGGGCGGAGTTGGACGAGAGCCGCAGTCGCGAGCCTCAACATCGGCGACTCCGCTGCCCGCCCACGGCTCGCACGCGTTCCCATACGGAAGTGGCCACTCGTTGTTGCCATTCACGTGGCGTTCTCCGAGGCAGGGATCGCGTGTGCGACCCCCCTCGCCCGCCTCGACCACCGCCTCTGCGCCTCCGCCGCTTTTCCCTCCGTAGTCTTTAGTCCGTGCCGACGATTTCCATCGCTTCGCTCTGCTCCTGCTTGCTCCGCCTTCGCCACGTGCGTCCCCTCCGTCTCGCTGGCGCGGGTCGCACCGCGCGCGTTTGACCAAATGCGCAATTCGGCATCCCGGCGTGCCGCGTCGCACGTGGCCTCATCGGGCTGCTGCTGCTGCTGCAGCGGCGTCGGCTGCGTCGGCGTCATCCGGTGGTGCTCACGTGGAGAGGAGGACGACATAATCGTCGCGGGTGCCGCGTTGCGCGAGGACCAGCTGCGGTGGTGGTGATGATGATGATGGAGGAGGAGACGATGTGGAGATGGTGATGATGATGATGTTGGTGGTGGTGATGATGTATGGGAGCGGAGCGTGGTGAACTGTCGGATACTCAGCAGCTCCCCTAGCGGGCAGGTGGAGACAAAATAAAAGAATCGTGGGACACCCACTTTTGCCTCTTCCGTTAGCAATAGAGAAAGAAACAAAAACGCCCGCAATCGCCACGGCCTACTCGTCAAGAACCTTTGAGGTGCTAGTGAAAGCATCGAGCACAGTGGCGAACGAAAACAGAGGAGGGAAGGGAGAGACGAGTGTGGGCGGTCGCGGAATCCCAGGGAGGAGTTCTCGCGACGGTGATGATCGCCGGCAGCTGGGTGGTGGAAGCGACCTCGACAGGACGCACCTTGGGAGTGTGGACACACCTTGGGAGTGTGGACACACCTACACCTGGGTGACGCAGCGGGGGGTGGGAGCCACTCTCTCTCTCTCTCCCTCTCTCGCCCCCCCTCCCACCCAGACGACCATCGCCCTCTCTCCGTCGCATCCCTATGCAGAGATCAGTCGGTGGCACGCACCGGATCAGCGCCTTGTGACGCATACCTGTCTGATGGGACTCGTATACACACGATCTACCCGACAAACGTCTTCTTATGTAAGTTCCGCTATAACCAACCACTTGTTCTGCACTATTCAACCAATTCAATATGCTCGGTCGGGTCTGCGTTGTTATCTTGCTAAAATGACCGTATAGTTCGTTTCAAGGTTGTGTTACACCTGTTCAAAAGGATGTATAGTTTTTGTTGTTTTCCTTTCAATAAGTTGTATCGCTTGTTTCCCCCCCTCCCCCCCCGTTGTCAGTCGTTAGTAGCAGTGCCTTAGCTTGCTTGGATGCCTCTATGAGACCAACAAAAACATCAGCTTCACCTGCGAAGCGTGTGTGTGTGTGCATGTGTGTGTGCGTGTGTATGTGTGTGCGCGTGTGTGTGCGTGTAACGTGCCCCGCACAGGCACGCAATATGTTGACGGGAGTGGTGCGTGCGCTCATCTTCTGGTTTGGAATCATCTCAGCGATCTCAGGTACCGTGTGTTTGATTTACGGAGCATGCAGATCTTCGCTTGAAGTTGTCCTATTTCGCTGTGTGTGTGTGTGCGTGAGTTACAATACTCCTTTTGTGGGAAAGCAAAATAAAAGAGCTCACTTGTCACACAGGTATGCGGCTACATTACCTCTCGGCTCTGGTGTTTGTAGAAAGAATTCTTAACTTGCCCTGAGACATCCCACACCTGCAAAATGCTGTGTAGTTGCACTATACCGCAAACATTTAACGTTGGGCAAGTTGTATATACGGTGTCATGTATTGCTATGGGGCATGCAATGCTTTTTTTTTAGTGTATAGCATACCGATATATCTAAACATACCAGCACCACTTAGAGTTTAAGAGTAAGGGCTTGTTTTGTGAAATCAAAACCCGAGCTGCATTTTGTTGTTGTCAAACAAAGGGAGCCAGGCAGAATGGTACAAGTGTAAAAACTACTTCTCAGCATAAACAGAGGTTTGGGTTAGATCACGTAAATATAATTGTGTCGTTAAAGCCCACCACCACCCAACACAGCCGGTTAGTAAGGTTTGTCACGTAAACAAAACATGCCAATTCGTTACGAGTACAGCACTCTGGTGTGTTGGAGAGTTAACCCACAACGTCTACAATTTACTCTCCAACACACCGGTGTGAATTGGAATATTGTGTTTATTTACTAATTAGCTGTGGCGGGTAGTGGCGGGTTTTAACGACGCATTTCTACGAACGCGAAAAAGAAAAAGAAAAACCTCTATTGTTGATAACATTTGTCGTGCAAGCTTCCTACGTGTTAAACGAATTCTCAGCAGTCAAACTACAACACCGCTTCTCGATAATCGTACACCACGTGACACTAATGCCTGCGCGCTCTATACATCAACAAATGATGTTGGTGCTTACCTATTAATCTCTGCCGTGGTGCCTTGTGGGGGGGGGGGGAGCTACTATTCAACAAAAGTGCAGCCTTTTATATTTAAATTGACACGAAAGAGTGTGTGACGTTTCTTTTTTTCCCAAGAGTGGGTCAGTGGCCAATGTCATTGTCACATTTAGGGTTAAACGACACACCGAGTGAATGGTCATGCTCGTCTCAAATTGTCGATGAAGCAATTCGCCCCAATATCAACGTGTGCACGTTTAACTTTCGATCAATCACTTATCGGTCGGATAGCAGTGTAACGTTAGAATATATGTAATTTAGTATTTTTTACTTAATTACCATATTTCAACCCGTCTTGAGCCCACGTTTTTTTCCAACCTGCACTAACCATCGTGAAACCCCGCCCGCCCGCCCATTTACATGGTGCGGTGAGTCCTTCAGCAGTATATTGACAACAGGCCGTAGATTATTACTGTAGTCATGATTACATTACACTCATGGTCCAACACACGTTTAAAGCTACAGGTCCATGTTGAGTGTGGTGAGCAGTGGCATCGTAGCCGTGATGAAACTTCATGTTGACTCAGTGCCACATCGTTGAAGCCGGGGAATTCGTGATTTCGTGTTTTAACGGAGGACTTTACACCTATGCACTCCACGCTTGTTCGGAAGTAATGAAAATCTTAACACTTAAGTGTTTATTATATGATCGGTGCATTACAGTAGGGTTTCAAGATTAGTCTGGGCATGGGATGTGGGTGGCTTTGTATTGGTATCACGAGCGATTCCCCAAAAAGGTTTGGTACGATATTTTTTTATACCGTACATATATACTTCTGTCAGGTAACAGGAAATCCCCCCCCCCTCTCTCCACATCACGAATTGGTGGAAAAAAACTCAGAAAATATGACACATTGCATTAGTTGCAACTTGTGGGGTTATGTTATAAAAGTAAAAAAAAACCACAAAGGTACTTTACAAAAAAATGAGAAATGAAAAACTTTGATTTCCTAGCAAACAGCGTGAGTCAAATGATGATGGCACAACCGGGAACCACCATCGATGACTTTACCTGTGCAAGGTGTATGGAGAACGGGTAGATATACTTATTACAGGGTATTTCCTGAACATGTGTTGTGGCGTGTGTGTTGATAGTGTCTACATTGTTTTTTTTCTTGTTTAAATACATTATATACTACGTCAACAGTATATACTTAATTAAAACTTACTGAAAGTACTGTATGTTTAATCAATAATACTGTATATTTAAATTTTTATTTAAAGCTTTCGTGACTGCAGGAATTCATATTCTTGGTTCTTTCGGTAAAGTCACGTAGAAGGGAATTAAATTTGTTGCTTTCAACTGATGGTTAAATCATTTAGTTTCAAAATAACCCACGTGCCATAACATGAATGGTTTAGTACGGTAGGGTAGTTATAACAGACACATCATAACATTAAACTATTTAAATTAACTTTCAGGTAAAACAATATTCATAAAGGAATCATCAACAACTTTTAAACAAGTCTTGATGAAAGTTTTTGTTTGTATCAAATTCAGGTTGAAATTAGTTTTAAAAATTAAATAAAGTACATTTGAAAAAATTATCGCCATTTCGTTAAAACTTAACATGCAGTGCAGTATAGGTAAGGAAATAAAAACATTATTCATAATATACTTTTGGGTCACATCGAGTAAGTAAATGTGTCGTAAAATACATAAATGGACATGCATGAAGCAGCTTTTGTTTCATGTCATTGTGTAGAGCATTGACAAATTGCAATGAGGTGAAGCCCAGGAATTGTAAATACAACCATAAACGTTTTATTACTTTACCAGGTAAGGCCCACTTGAGCAATACAGTGCTTTTTTTCAGAAGGGACGTGGCCACAAATGATGGCTCAATACAGTGGCTTATCACGTGGACATTTACACCAGACAAATACTCTAAACGGATGATTTTAAATATGGAGGGAAACATCGGAGGGCCCAGAGAAAAATCCACGCGACCACGGGGGAGAACACGCAAACACCAAATATACAGCAGCAGGCGTCAGGGTTGGGATCGAACGTACGACCTCCTGCATAGCAGGCGAGGTAGGTAACATATCGCCACTGTCAACGAGTGACGGTCTCCCAATGAGATCCTGATAAAAGCGAATGAAATCTGCTGTATCTGGGATTTTGAAACATCCTGTGACCAGTTGGGGGATTCGAATATTCCAGTTTGCTTACACACTGTGAGGGGGATATAAATAAACAGTCAAGGGGTCTTTCTAAAGTTAAAGTGTGGAAGGAGAGTAAGATTCTGAAAGGGCATTTCTGTTTAGCGGTATGGCTCAAATGAAAGTGAAACTTTGACTCAGATATCTGTTTGTATAACAATACCCATCGGTTTTTATCAGGCCGACAATCATCTGGAAACTTGAAAAAGATTAAATCCATTCATTGTATAAAGTACAGTGAATAAAAACGATATCCAGTATGATAGGATATAGTCATAACATGCTAACCGTAATGTTGTTTCATGTCCTATCTTGAATAATCTTCCTTGGGCCTCAACATGTGCCAAGTAATCCGTTTGATTACACTCAGACGATGAGACATTCGTGGTATTAATAAAAACAATTTGGGGATAAGATGCTTCAAGAAAATCGATCAAAATGTAAAGAAGCAACGACCTTAGGTTGAGTGTGGTAGCGTATTCGTGGACGAAGTGTAAACTGAAGCCCTTAGAATATAATTACTGTATCTGTATGTTTTATTCTAAACTAAACAAGGTGTTTTTTTTTATTTGCACCTTCCATCAGCAACGGCTGGCTATTCATTTATTTCTGTTTTAAGTAAATTTTACTGAAAAAACTATAAAGTTTTAGAGAATGAAATGGGGGGTCACAAGACATCTGGAGCACCCTGTATAGCAGGTGTGTACTATTACTTATGTGTGTATTATTATTATTGTTATTAACGTATGTGTTGCACATAACGGAGTGCAATAAATTATTGAACCTGATGCCCACCACAGTTTTTGCTTCACAAATGCCTTATGAAGAAGTTACTGTGTAACTCAAACTTCTTGGCAAAGTCTGATGAGTAGCCACATTTATGTATTAACTATCTTCAAGTGGTAGTGGTGATTATGATGGCAGCTTTTCACAACATTACACTTCAGTGTCATGCTGCGTATTGAGAGTTTTGTTTTGAGCAAAAAGTGGTACATTTTAAAAATGAATAAAGTTGAACACTCTATTTTACATTTAATTTAAAAATGCACTAACTTGATCACGCAAGGACTTATTAAACTTTGAAACACTGAACATGCCAGTGATTTGTCGTCGTGAAAGAAATGTCACGTAAACATGAACAACCTCAGGATGATTTCCATCCGCTCAGAGTGGTATGAGATGAGTGGTTCACTGGGCTCGGCTGAAATCGACGAAGACAGTAAACAAATCGATCGACAGCAATGAATGAACGAAATAAATAAGCGGGCAAGGTCTCCACGTGTCATTCCACATCTTCTCTGCTTATTTGTTTTCTTATTTATATTCCCCACAGTGATGCCGAGGATTATTTTGAGCAACGAATTAACATAATCCGCTTTCCCAAGATGTATTCTTTGTGCTTTGCTAAGGTCTGCCTTTCTACATTCACCAAAGCAACTCCATTCAAATGCAAATTAAGGTGTTACACACTGGCTAACAAAAAATAGAGAACCTCCCTGGTGGGTGATGAAAAAGAGAGTGTTGGACACCCGAGCGTACAGTTTTATATATATGGCACCTTTTGTAATTTCACTTGGTTTGCCTGCGTATTTGGAGTTTTCATGTTTTCTGTCTCCCCGTGGCCGTGTGGATTTTTTTCTCCGGGTTCTCTGGGTTTTATTCCCTCCACATTTAGAAACACACGTTTACGGTTGTTGGCTGCTATTAATTTTCCAAATGGTGAGCCACTTCGTTGAGCTATCATTTGTGGCCAGGTCACTTCTGAAAATGAGCTACGTAGTAGCTCAGTGGGCTTTACCATGTGGCCCCCTTTGCTGGCTATGGCAGTAAGGGGGCCACATGGGCATTTTGAGATGAAATGCTCTTCTTAGTCACACCAACGATCAATTGA